GTAGAACATAGATCTTTGTTTATTTCATAGCTGATATTAAGAAACGAGTCTCTGCGTCTCAGTAGAGTTCACATGACCTGACGTGATGTTGGAGAATCCCCACAAACGCTGCGCGCCGCAGCCTTTGTGTGCAGTCTGTTTGTCTGTCCAGCTTTTGCTCTCCTACTCACAGCATTTTCACAGGTTGTAAAGTGTACTTCCACGTGTCATTTTGGAGAAATCTACAACAACGTAAACGCCAAGTATGAAACACCTCCACTGCCGGCGAGGGTGCGTGCTCCAGAGCGCGACCATAACTGAGCCTTTAGAATCGTATGGATGATACGATGCTGTTGGTCATGATTCAGATTTGGGTGGACTGGACTGAGTCCCGATCGGTCTGCCAGCTCCCTCTGGAAAGCTCCTGTGGAACCCCAGTTCAATCATATATATAAAATTCTCCTTTTTGAATTTTATTGGTGCACTTTAGGTGTATTTATTTATTTACTAGTCAATTTATATATTTCCGCTTTTATTTTTAATCATGTCAGTTTACTTTAAGTGTATTTATTTACTAGTCAATTTATATACTTCCGCTTTTATTTTTAATTATGTCAGTTTCGGTCCTCCGCACTGCAGAAGCCTGATAATCACCCATTCATTCAAATCAGGTGTGTTTGAGCAGAGAAAAAAGTAAAACATGCAGGGCTGCGGCCCTTGAGGACCAGGATTGCCCACCCCTGCTTTAAAGATTAGGAAATAGAGATTCTAAATTAATATATAGTTTCTTTATCTGTTAGGTCTGTTCTAAATTATACATAAAACATCATTTGGTAAAAATAGAAAAGGTAATTTCTAGGTAATTTAATATAACAGTTTTCAATAAACATTGACAGAAATTGGCTTGAACCAAGTTTTAAAATTTGGAACTTTACACCACTTATTTATGGAACTGACAAACTTTTCACTTGTAAAGAATACATTCGATGAAGCACTAAAACTTCTATTGGTCCTGTCTGGTGTGGGTATCAGTCTGGAGTATCAGAGTATTTTTTACAAGTACTTTTAAAAATGCTGGTATTGGGCCTGTAACCAGTGTTGGTATTGGGACAGCTCGTCCCTCACAATGAAGAGTTGTTAGACTCTCTGTTGGCCTCTGACTCATGGAGGACATGTTTGATCACATACATTAAGCAAAATGTCTTCACCTTCAAAATAAAAGTCAAGTTGTTTTGTTTTTAAATTTATTCTTTTCTATTTTGTAAATGATCATGACCTGAATGCCTAAGAATCTTCAATATAAATATAAGTAGGTTTAAAATATATATATTTTGTCCCTTCAGGCGTGTACGTCTCTTCTTGTGTTCAGAAGGTTTTGCTGAGAACTGAAATCACTGAGCAGTGACCAATTAGTTTATTGATGTTAAATATTTTATCTTTAAATGCTTAGGCCAGTAATTTGTTTTGTACTCATCTGTGTATTTCCTGTACATGAACCAATGTGCAAAAGTATAAGTACTATATTAAAAGAAAATGTTAAACCTTTTCCTGATTTATTTGGGGTTTTAAGCTTTTTTGTGGGTGTTTTTTGCTACGTTATGCAATCTTAACTAATGTTTATATCTTTTCTGTGTCTGTTTAGCTAAGAACGTTTTCCGTGTGAGTTCGACGGATCCGACCCACAGCCAGTCCCACACCCTGCACGTCAGCGACGTCTACCACAAGCAGCAGTGGCTCAACTGCCTACGCTCGGCCATGGCCCAACAGCAGGGGGCTCCGGTCAGAGCTCAACAGGGCGAGCCCATCCGGACCAAACGGCGCTCTTCTTCCATGTCAGCAAAGCTCTGCGACGAAGAGACGGACGAGAACTGTCCACCTGTCTCTGGCCCTAAGCTCAGGCCTCAGACGCTCTCCAAAACCAGACTGGGCCAGACGTTACCAGGGTCACAAAGGAGGAAGGAAACTGGAGTGTAGACGCACAACCAGGACTCCTCTCTGACGGACACATCCTCTGTGTCCTGTGATCATGTTTGTTACTCTTATCATGTTGTGTTTTTAGCTGCACTGATGAACCCTCCCCATCATCTCCGTCCAGATGTTCATCATCTTGCCTTTCTTCAAAATTAAACTTGTTTACAAAAAACAAATGGTTTTAATTGGACTTTTATTTTCTTAAAGCTGTTTGTTTTTTTTTTACACACACACACACAGTGGGGAGAACAAGTATTTGATACACTGTTGATTTTTCAGGTTTTCCCACTTGCAAAGCTTGTAGATGACTAATTTTTGTCATAAGTACTCTTCAACTGTGAGTGATGGAATCTATAACAAAAATCCAGAAAAATACAATGTATGATTTT